TTTCTAAAAATTACATCATCAGTAGATTCCTACAACTGAAAACACTGCATCAAAAGTTGTGTATTTTTTTTTTTAAGATTTTATTTGACAGAGCACAAGTAGGCAGAGAGGCAGGCAGAAAGAGGTGGGAAGCAGGCTCTCTACTGAGCAGAGAGCCCGATGCAGGGCTCGATCCCAGGACCCTGAGATCATGACCTGAGCCGAAGGCAGAGGCTTAACCCACTGAGCCACCCAGGTGCCCCAAAAGTTGTGCATTCTTTTAAGACTCTTGGCACATCTTTCTGGAAGGGCATTCCAGTATATTTCCCACCTGCATCGTATGAAGGTGTTCACCAGCTCATCTTTTGTGAGAGGTGCATATTTTAATTAAAATCAGGACAAAAATTTTTCAACATGGTGACTTGAAAATGGTCCACATTTTTACATGTGTTCTTTCAATAGGAAGGATGAATGGTTTACATATTTTTCTATTGAGGCTTTGGTGTTTGTCTTTTAATATATATCTGGTGTTTGATTTTAATATATATGATTAAATAGATCTGTTAAATTATAAATTATAAATATATAATAGATTTAATTTTATATTTGTATGTGGTCTATCAAGGCAGAATGAGAATAGAAGTATATAGGTCCCTTGTTCTTAGAGTTTGTTGAAAATACTGTTTCAGGTTTGTCATTTGACTTTTCATATTTTGGGTGATTTTTTAAAAAAGACTTTATGTATTTGAGGGAGAGATGAGGTGGGGAGAGCATGAGCAGGGGATAAGGGCAGAGGGAGAGGGAGAGGGAGAAGCAGACTCCCCACTGAGCAGGGAGTCCAACGCCAGGCTCTGGGATCACGACCTGAGCCAAAGGCAGAAGCTTAACTGACTGAGCCACCCAGGTGCCCAGTGATGGTTTTTGATATGAAGTTTTCAGTTTTGTATAGTCAAATGGGATTTTTTCCCCCTCTACTTTTTTTTGTTTGTTTGTTTTGTTAAAGAGCCCTTGTCCATTTGGAGTCTTAATTCTTTAATTATGTTTACCTTCTCTCTCTTTTTAAAGATTTATTAAAAGATTATTATAGATTTATTGATTTGAGGGGAGAGGGGCAGAGGGAGAGAGAGAATCCCAAACAGACTTCGGGCTGAGTGGGGAGCCTGACCTGGAGCTTGATCCCAGGACGCTGAGAGCATGACCTGAGCAGAAACCAAGAGTCAGACCTGAAGGGGCTGAGTCACCTGGGCGCCCCCACCTTAGTTCTTAGCAGTTACAAAATGTATGTTTAATTCTGAATTTTACTTTATTTTTCTTTTTGGGTATGTAATATGGTATAAGACTCTAATTTTTTTTTTTTTTAAAGATTTTATTTATTTATTTATTTGACAGAGAGAGAGAGAGAGCACAAGTAGACAGAGAGGCAGGCAGAGAGAGGGGGAAGCAGGCTCACCGCCGAGCAGAGAACCCGATGCGGGGCTCGATCCCAGGACCCTGAGATCATGACCTGAGCCGAAGGCAGAGGCTTAACCCACTGAGCCACCCAGGTGCCCCAAGACTCTAATTTTTTTTTTAATCCCCCAAAGAGCCAGTTTTCTCAGCCCATTTGTCTTCTGCAGCTGGTTTGGATTCTCTTCTCACCTCTTGGCTCAGGCTGCCCCCTAATTTTACTGTCACTGCAGCGTGAGGTCAAAGGCCCCCTCTGCCGGCCTCAGCCCTGGAGAACTTTCACCAGGTGCCCTGGTAGCACCTCTTCCAAAGAAGGAGGCACATCGGCTTTGAGGTGACCTCGGTGGAAGATAGGGACTGGCGTTTCCTCTGAATACTGACAGCCTGCATGGCCTTTCACTCAACGTGGCTAGCTTACTAGAAAATACCAAGAGATGGCAAAACAGAAGGGACTTGGGACATCTTGGTGCCTGTAGGCTGGTCAGACTCTCAATCTGTCGCTTGTCTGTGAAGTGGGATGAAGCGAGTCAACCTGTTATCCGTAGGTCACCAGATCGAGCTTCTGGAGCCTTTTCAGTCTCATTCCACCCCCATCAACAATTTGATCTGTGGGAACTAGGGCATATGTTGTGTGCACTGTGGTCTACAACCCACACAAACAAAAATACAGTTCAATGGCTTCAAACACTTCAAAGGTCAGACATTAGCCAAGTCTCCCGTTAGCTTCCATGATCTAGGCGTGGCCAGGGTGCTGCTTTGCTTGGTACCGAGACTCTGAGCAGTATTACAACACATAACCTAGCCCATGGCCGCTTCACAGCTCAGAACCGCCCCCGAGTCCTTGGTGTGGCTCAGGAGGCCCTCCCGCACGGGCCCCTGCCCGCTTCTCCGACCTCCCCTCCATCACAGCCCCACTTGCTCAGTCAGCTTGGAGCCACATGCCCTAGATAGCATTGCTTCTGAATACCCCGATTCATTTCCCTCTGTCTAGAACACTCTCTCCACAGGCACTTATGGCCCCACCCCATTCCTTGGCTCATTCAGGTTACCTTCTGTGTCATCTCAGAGAGCTCTTCCTTGATTCCTCAGCTTAAAAAAAGAAAAAAAACAACAGCCTAGGACACTCAATTCTCTGGTTTATTTTTCTTTATAGCAGTTTATGTGACATTTTCTTCACCCATAAATACACACCCTCTTGTTTATTTTCTCTCCCAACTAGAATGTATGCTCTGTGAAGGCAGAAATATTGATTTGTCCTTTTCTGTGTTTCCTCACCTTGGTTGGTATCTGACAGTAGATATGCAATGGTTGATAGCTTAAAAATACTCAAATGTGAATACCATAGTTGACACAAGTCTAGAGAAAAGCTGTCGTCCAAGAACCCAGCTGTAAAAATGTGTGCCATCTAGGGCCCTATGATGATCACAATGGGAAACGGCCTTTATTCCCATCTGCAAAAGTCTGTATAAGCAGCAACATTCCAGAAAACATTAACTAATGAGACTTATGCATGAGGATCTTTCATAAGTATTTCATAAGTATTCATATGATTAATCCTTACTAAAGCCCTTTAAGGCAGATATTACCTCCGTTGTCACAGATAAGGATCCTGAGACTGTAACTCACAGGATGACATATTTATCAAAGGGACCCAATTCAGGATCTCGGATCTGACTCCAACAGCCAGGCTCCTTTCTGCTCTGGTGCACTACCTTCCATGGAAGATCATCAGAGATGCTTAGCACACATTATCCATCCCGAAAAAGAGAGCTCATATGACTTAACCACTAGCACAGCTTCTAGGGGCACAACTTATCCCTAGGTTTTATGATACCTCCCAGCCTAGAAAGTGACAGCATAAAATACGTAAAGCTTAAAAGACCATGGGACATGCATGCCCTTCCTCTAAGAATGAGTGAGCTCCACATCTGGTTACACTACAGTGAACAGAGCTGTTTCTGAGGTCTTATCTTCCAAAGGTGGTAGAGTTTTTGGAAAGAGAATAGCAAGAAAGCTGGTTCTTATAAAAGACAATATATATTCATTTGCTCTTTCTGTAAGTATGTTTTAGGTGCCAATCATGGGCTAGCCAGAGAGATAAGCACTGGGGACACAGTGATGAATAAACCAGGTAGACCTTGTCTTTGGCTCACGGACCTCATGGGCTAAAAAGGATCTTTGTTACCGTGATGCTGCCGCCATAAACTTTCATTTTACGGCTCAAGAAATATTTACAGACGACTTACTATGTTTCCCAGTTTGGGTTAAGAGGAGGGAATAAAATGGCGAGCAAAGCCAGACACAGTTCCTGCTTTCATGGAGCTTACAGTCTCACGGGAAAGATGGTAAATAATAATGTGCTTCCATGGTGCTGTGAGACCCTACAAATAGGGGAAGCTGGCTTCCTTGGTTTAGGAGATTTCTGCTTGAGGAAGTGCCACTGGAGCTGAGGTCTGGAGGAAGAAGAGAAGGTGACTAGGCAGTAAGGGGAGGGACGAACCCTCCGTGCACCTTGAACAGCCCGTGAGAGGATCCTACAGTAGAAGGAAAGATGACGAACAGGAGGGACAGTGAAAGAGGACTGTGTGTCGGGAGAGCTGGGAATAAGGAGTGTCCTGGTTTCAGGTGGGCCTGAGCTCTGGCCAGGAGCAGCCCCCGGGGTGCTGGTGTCCCTCCCTAGCTGGCCTCCAGGTTCACGGTCTTGGAACTGCAGCAACTCCATGTTGGACACACACAACTTGGAGGCAGGGAGGCTCAGGGCGTCAGCAGGTGATCCCTAGTATCTACACTAAAACCAAGGTTACACCTCCGAGAGATAGGGAGAGCGACAGCTTTCCCGAACCTTCCTTTCCAGAGTGCCAGACACAGCAGTGGACCAGAATGCTGTTTTTTTTTGTGTGGGGCGGGGGTGGGGGGGGGGAAATCCCACCAAACTGGATCTAAGTTCTTCATCTGCTACCCATTAGGTTTCTGAGCTATTCAGTAAGAACAAAAATCTTTTCGGGGTTCTTGTGAGAATCAAATGCGATGAAGCATGAAAGCCCTGAGCACAGGGCCTGGCTTTCGGCTGAAAAGAGCGGTTGTTGTCCTCCATCTGTCAAATGGAGAGCATGAGAATGCTGGTTCCTCACATGGTTACAAAGATCCGTGTTGGGTCGGCGTGTGTGGGACCGGTAGGCTGGGCCTTCTCTGCGCAGTCCCGGTTCTAATTTTAAGAGCCGGGAGCCTACTCTTCCTGCTCTGTCGCCCCTTGTGAATGCGGGGCCACCGTGTTCGGAATCTGCCCGGTGCACCACGCGCGTCCTTTTATAAGCGAGCTCTCACTAGCCTCGCGTTTCCAGGTTTCTGGGTACCCTTCCGTTTGGAAAGCTCTGTCCCACCCCGGGAAGGGCAGCTCTGCCGCAGAAGGCGCAGCCGTCACGCCCACCCCTGGGCCGGCCTGCCGCGGTGCCCGCCGCCGACCTGCCCCGGAGGCTGGCGCGCGGCGGCCGGGCCAATCAGAAGAAGTTTGGCCCTCAGCAGGCTCCGTCCGCTCACTAGGAGGCGCTGCGGCGGCCGCGGCTGCTTCCCGGGCCGGCGCGGGCCGGAGCGGTCGGTTGGGCTGGCGGCTGAAGCTCGTGGCCATGGAGTGGGGCTCGGAGTCGGCGGCCGTGAGGCGGCACCGCGTCGGAGGGGAGCGCCGGGAGGGCCCGGCGGCCGTGCCCCAGCCGGGGAGAGAGGCCCCGGTGCCGAAGCCACCGGCGGACGCGTGCAGCGGCGGCGCGAGGACGCGGAAGCGGAGCGCGGGGGGCGGCGGCGGCGGCGCGAGCCGGGGCGCGGGGACCGGGCTGTCGGAGGCGCGCGCCGCACTGGGGCTGGCGCTCTACCTGCTCGTGCTGCGGGCGCTCGTGCAGCTCTCACTGCAGCAGCTCGTGCTGCGCGGGGCCGCCGGCCGCCACGGGGAGTTCGACGCCCGCCAAGCCAGGTACCCGCCGCTCCCGCCCGGCCCGCGCGTCGCTCTGCGGCTGCGGCCGGGCCCTGGGGCTGCCGCACCTGCGTGCGTCCGCCCCCGCGGGATCGCCCGGGCTCGCCAGCCGTGCGGGCCCCCCGCGCATCCCTGCCCCGGAGTCCCCGTTTATGGGTACCTTGCCCCCAGTGAAGCCGGTGGTGCGGCTGGGAGCGGGGGAGGTGTCCCCGGCTGGGGTGGTGGTGGTGGTGGGGTTGCGGATTGCGTTTGCTTGTCCGCCTCCGTTCTGCCCCACTTGCACTTGGAGGGTTGGTCGTCGTCCCCCATCTTCGGGAGCAACTTCCACTTTTTACTAGTCCTGCTTTCCAAACGAAATGGGGGGCGCCATTTGTGTATCTAGGCCGTTTTACAAATTGGGTATGGGGGGAGGTGATCAGGGGGATAAGGCAGTGCTCTTCTTGGGGGTCACAGTCCTCATACCTGTAAACCATGGAGGCTTTTTCTGAACGACTGTGCATTCAAAATTTTACAATTTCAGAGGTTCTCAGATTCCTGAAGTTTGTCCTTGGGCCCCTGGTGTGTGAGATTTGGTGGTTTCTTTTTTGGTTTGTTTTGTTTTAAAGAAGAGAGACCTTTGAGCATGCTAGGGGAAGTGATTAAAGTCAAAGGTATTGTAACGCCAAGTATATCAAAGTTCCTAAAGTCTTAAGCTAGCAGAATTTTCAAGTCACTGTGTTTTAAAAACTTTTGACTACAAAGTGCTGGAAGCTTATTTTCTTAAGGACTTTCTGGAACACACCTCCCCCACTCCCTTTTTGCCCGTTTGGAATGCAGTGAAAAGACAACACATTATTTTGTTTGTTTGTTTGTTTTACGGGTAGAGTTGGCTTTGGTCTGAATGGAAGGTAGTAGGCCTAGTGTGCACTGAGGGGGCTGCGTACATTCTAAACGATCAAAAGTTTTCCTTTCTTATTCAACCTCTCTCCTTAATTGTCTTTGCTCATTGGCTTGAGAATCAGTAACCCTCCAGAGTGTGGTCCCATGAAGCTGGGTTCTGTCTAGCCTTAAAGAGGCGACATGTTCAAAACAGAATTCCTGGTCTTTGTCTTGATTTGGTATGGAGATAGGAAGAATTGGGGAGTGGGGTGGGTGGAGAAAACTCAGAAGAGAGGAGCTCACTAGAGGCAAAATAAAATGATGGAAACTTACAAGTGATTTTCACAGGGTACCTGAAGTAATAAAAGTCAGCCTTTTTTATGTGAGAAGTCAAAGGACTTGTTTGTGCTGGGGAGGGTGGGAGGGCATACAGGAAAAATTTGCCTTGCGTCAAGCACTAGTTCTAAGCCCAGCGCTCCTTGTCACATCATCCTTTTGGTTGCTTCCAGGGATTATCTTGAACACATAACATCCATCGGCCCCAGGACCACAGGAAGTCCCGAAAATGAAATCGTGACGGTCCATTACCTTTTGGAACAGATTAAACTGATTGAAGCTCAGAGCAACAGCCTTCACAGGATTTCAGTGGATGTACAGCGGCCCACAGGCTCCTTTAGCATTGACTTCTTGGGAGGTTTTACAAGCTACTACGACAACATCACCAACGTCGTGGTGAAGCTGGAGCCCAGGGATGGAGCCCAGCACGCGGTCCTGGCGAACTGTCATTTTGACTCCGTGGCAAACTCGCCAGGTACGGACCGGGTCTTTAGTGCTGTTGGAGTTGCGCGTCGGTCAGCCCAGAAAGCTTATTAATCCCAAGCTGCGTGGGCACTTGTTCAAGACAATTAGAATCTTAATGTTTGGTTGAAGATCCAGAACCTGGCTAGTGACTCAAGTGCTTGCTCGCTTGAGGTTCTGAGCGTCCACGCCAGCAGCGCAGTGATAGGACATGGAATGTTTCTGGTAGATGGCAGCTGCCTCAGCAGTCGGCATTGCCAGTCCTGTGTCCCCGTGTCCCTGTGTCCCGGGGTCAGGTTCTTCAAGTTGAAGTGTTTAGTCAGCTAGATGTTGTACAAGGCTTTATGCATTTGGGATGAAGGAACCGTTTTTGCCTTCAGGGAATGAAGGGTTTGGAGGACAGCTCTCCTGATGGTGTCTGGTGACTGGTAAAGGGAGGATTTTGGTTCACTGGGGATGCCATACTCTGAGAATATCTCATTAATCCATAAATCTTGCTCTGAAAATACTTTGGCAAAATAGAATACTTGATGTTTAGGTCGGTGCCTGACAGGATAAATACTTGTAGAATGAATGAGCATTCCCTAAATTGGACTTGTATTTTTAAAAATAATATTCATGAGAGAGTTGTTTTCAGTAGTTAGATTTTAAGTAGGGTTGAATAGAAAGCAGTAGCTTTTTATAATGGAATCATGATATCTGGGAGCTGGAGAAGCTGAGGTGGCATCTGTTCCACCCTGTCTTTTGTCACAGGAGTAAACGTAGGTGATCACCACTGATGGAGATGAGGTGGCACCAGATGCTGGGCCTTCTAGCCTGTCAGTTCTTTGAGCTGCGTTTAAAGGAAGGAGAGTATTAGCGGGTAGTTAATCTTTTTGGCAGACTACCTCACCTCTTCTTTGCTTGGTTTCTGGTCTGTAAATGGAGATAGTAGGACTTCCGTGGCATGAAAAATATTTTTTTTCCACTGTTATTTGATAGTAATATTTTTGAATTGCTTGAACTTATAGCAGGCTCATATGAGCATTCCGAGTTGTATGAAAGATAAAAAAATTGATAAAATGATTCATACTAGGATGTGTCTAATCACAAAGACTGCCAATTACACTTAGAATGTAGCACTCTTTTTCAAGTATCCGTGTACAAACATCTGTTTTATAAAGTCAGAAATACCTTTGTGTGTGCTTAGGGAAACCAGTATTCTTTATGCCTACTTCAAAGAACCTGTAAATTAAGCGCCGCCCCCACACTCCCGCTACAGTGCTTAAATTCTTGGATGGGACAGATTAACACCGTGGTTATTTAAGAGCATTATAAAGGAAAGATGTGTATGCAAGTCTCAGAATCATAGTGCCAGATGTTACAAATCACATACGCAGAAATGACAGCGATTTTATGGGTCATTGGAACCCATTTTTAATTAAAATTTTATAAGAATACCTAGCCAACAATTTCAAGGAAATTTCTGTCAATTACCAATTGTTCAGACAGTTGAAAATAAATAAAAATAGCTGAAGACGACAATCGTAAAAGAGACCATCATCTGTATCCTTTTAGTGGATGAACTAAGTGAAACACAGCGATGCGCTTCTTTCTCTCTTTCTTTCTTTCTTTCTTTCTTTTCTTTTCTTTCTTTCTTTTTTTCTTTTCTTTCTTTCTTTCTTTTCTTTCTTTCTTTCTTTTCTTTTCTTTTCTTTTCTTTTTTTTCTTTCTTTTCTTTCTTTCTTTTCTTTCTTTTCTTTTCTTTCTTTCTTTCTTTCTTTCTTTCCTTTCTTTCTTTCTTTCTTTTCTTTCCTTTCTTTCCTTTCTTTCCTTTCTTTCTTCTCTCCTCAGCAGCGTATCTGGAACTTTAGGAACTGATATACCACTTGGGAGTAATGTTACCCACAGAAAGGCCTTAAATGTCTTCTTGGGTTTGCTGCATAGCTCCAGTTGGTAGAAGAGAGTGAATTATTTCAGCGGTGGTTGCGATTTCGGGGTTAATTCCACTGGAAAGTGAGGTTGGTGTATCACCCGCCCTTAGAGATGCGGTCCTCTAGCTTTCCTTCCCTTTCTGAGAGGTATTTAATCGGGGAGCCCCGGCTGGCTCAGTCAGTTACGCATCTGACTCTTGATTTCAACTCAGGTCATGAGCTCAAGGTCGTGAGATCGAGCCCCATGTCAGGCTCAGCCCTGGGCTACTTGGGATTCTCTCTCTTCCTCTCCTTCTGTCCCTCTGTACCTACCCCCCCACCAATATGTAATCTTCTCTAGTCCCATTCTCAGATGCCAGAGCCATTAAAGGAAGGTAAGTGGACAGGTTAACTTTTTAATCAACCCTAGGAGTATTTCTTTCAGTTTTCCTTTCTTTCACTTTGAATAAACATTTTAGTATTTGCTGTTTACATTGAAGTAACTCAGTCTCAAAGTTAAAAAACAGTCATTTCCTTGGGTTGCCGGAAGCTGTTACTTTTTACTGAGCTTTTTACTGATAGCCTGTGGACTTTCTGCTCCATAGTAATTAGATAATGATTACTTTGTTTCACTTCGATTTAAAATACAATCTAGTGACCCTACCAAGATAGGGATGGCTAATTTGTTTCTTCTTGAGTAGGAAGTGGGTTGGTCTGGAATTTACCAGTGCTGGAGTAAGCATTTTAGCTGGTTTCAGAGTGTTTCTTAAATTTGTGAAGAGAAGGAACAATTTATTTTTATTTATTTATTTTTCAAAGATTTTATTTATTTATTTGACAGAGATCACAAGTAGACAGAGAGGCAGGCAGAGAGAGAGGGGGAAGCAGATTCCCTGCTGAGCAGAGAGCCCGTTGTGGGGCTCGATCCCAGGACCCCGAGATCATGACCTGAGTCGAAGGCAGAGGCTTAACCCACTGAGCCACCCAGGCGTCCCGAGAAGGAACAATTTAGTACTAGATGTGGTTCCTGTGTTCTTACAATCCTCATAACACACCTGTGAGGTAACTGTCATTAGCCTTGCCCTCCAGACCAGGAAATTGTAGGGTAAGTGACAGCTAGAATTTACTTACAGGTGTTTCTTGCCCTGAAACTCACCCTAAATTCTGCAGCACCCTGCCTCCCAGTGTATAAACCCAGAAATGTTCTTGGCCTGGGTTATTTCTATGTCTTGTTTACTTAAACTTGAAACTTTTTAATATGTTAGATTTCAAATTGTACAAGAACAGAATTGTTTGACAACAGTGTACTTATCACTCAACTTCAAAGGCCTGTTCTTATTTTTTTTCTCTTCACGCCCCTGTACCCATTGGCTAGCTATTTTGAAGCAGATCTCAGCTGTACTGATTTCTCTCTATTTCAGTCGGTATCACTGAAGGGTAAGGATTCTTCCTGGACATAGTCATAATACCATGAATTACCTCACCTAAAATACTTAACTGTATTTCCTCAATATCATCAATTGTCCGGTCAGTTCCTTTACCTCTTTGAGTGTTTAAAAAAAAAAATCAAGGTATGAAAGTCATCTTTATAATCACCTTTAATCTGAAGTTTCTGAATCCAGGCGAAGGGAAGAGGTCTGACGAGGGCCTCCGCTTTCTCGCTGCCCGGAGCAGGGGTGCTGTTCAGGTTGCTGGCATCCGTTCCTGTGTCTTACTAGAACCCGTATTGTTTTGTACTTGTTCATCACATAATCCCTTTCATGACATGAACTTTAAAAAATGCGACACCCTCCCCCCCCCCCCCCCCCCCCCCCCCCCAGCCCCCCACGACCGCCACCCACGGACCACTGCACCCGACAACACAAGCGCGACG